CCCCCCCCCCCCCCCCCCCCCCCCCCCCCCCCCCCCCCCCCGCGCGCCGGGGTTACAGGTTAATGAAACGCTCGTTTTCCTCAGTCATTTGTTTTGTTTTCCTGCAAAGTTCTGATAAGTAGCTAACCAACGAAGCTTGTAATTACAATCTTACAGAAACCGGGCCGATCTGTATATAAATCTCACCATCCAATTACAAGATGTAATAATTTTGCACTCAAGCTGGTAATGAGGTCTAATACTCGCGCATGCGATAATCCCCTCTGGATGCTGGCTTGATCAGATGTTGGCTTTGTAATTAGACGGGCAGAAAATCATTATTTCATGTTCAAATAGAAAATGAGGTTGGTGGGAAGTTAATTTCTCTCCGCTCTGTGAAGCGTAGACAAGAATTTAATGATTTAATTACAGTTGTAAGCCCTTTCCATGAGACTTAAATTGAGCTGAGAATATTTTTTTTTCCTTTTCTCTCTCTCTCCCCCTCTCTAGCTTTCGCGTTCTCTCTCTCCGCTATTAGCAGCCACCACACGGACTTGCAGATGCGTGGCTTGGCGTAGCACCGGGAGGAATTCACATTTGACTGTGAATCCAGCCTCGGAGCATCCCAGGAGGCGCGGGCCGGGCGCCGCCAGGTCTGCCGGGCAACGCTGGCCGGGCCCTGCAAGCCGCCAGGGCCACGGAGGCTGGCCCTGGGCCGGAGGCGCTCCGGGAAACTTCAGGGCAAACTTTGCAAACTTCTCTCCCGGCGCTCTGGAGGCCGCCGGTCGAAGAGGCTACGACAGCGGCGGCGTGGGCTCCAGGCCGGATTTGAGCACCAGGCCGGATCTGCGCGCCGCCGAAGCCGCCTTGCGGCCCCAAGCAGAGCGCGAGGCTCTCCGGCCGTCCTTCTGCGCTCCAGCGCCTCCCGGACCAGGCCCTCTGCCACTGGCCAGCGTGTGAGGCTCCCGGAGACCCGGCACGGGTGGAAATGGCCCTGAACGCCAGTGGTTTTGTTGCTCTTTTCTTCCTCAGAATCATCCCGTTTCCACCTGCGCCGAGCATTTCCGCTGATCTTTTTTTTTTTCCCCATCCTGTCTATTCCTCACACTTTCTGTATGTTTGATTTCCGCTGCATTTATTTTTCTCTTTCTTTCTTTGACTCCTAATATGTTGTTTGATTCTTTTTATTTTTCCTGGGCGGTTTTCTTAAAGTTCTTTCTTTTCTTTTTCTTTTTCTTTTTTTTACTTCTTTCCCCATTTGTGTCTCTGCCGCCTCCCCCCCCCCCCCGGTTTCATCTTTTTTCTTTTCTCCCTCCCTCTCTTTTACCCCTATCCGTCCTATATTAGTCTTGGTCTATCCCAGGCTCTCCTCTGCTGGTTTATTCTCTCTTCCTCTCCTCTACAGAGTCTGTCCCCTCCCCCGCCCGTGGATCTGCTTCCCCGGCATTCCCTCCTCATCCATCTTGGGAGATGAATATGTCGCCTTATTGGATGCGGAGGCCAGAGCAGGGCAATGGGGCTCGGCCAACGCCGCACATTTTCTTCATGCATATTGAGAATATGGTAATGAGTGCGTTTGCATTGTTGCATGGAAATGATGCGTCTCCTTTTGCGGTGCGGAGTGGGCAAGGTTGGTGTGGACCCAAGAGAGCCCAGTAGTGGGCACCGGGCCTGGTAGCCCTCTTTACCCACCCGGGGATGAGGAGGTGTCCTCTCGGAGGGCCTCCTCCCTCT